GAATGTTCAAATTTGATGTAGGCAAGCAGTTATCCCTCGTGACTAGTCTTTCACTTGTATAGGTGTGTATGATTGATCTATATAAGTAGGATTATGCATTCTCTAATTCGTAATTTGGGTTCATGTCAATTTCAAATCAACGGACGAGATCAGACACAAACATTTGATCATATCTACTTCTACTTACTTATAAATAAAGTAGAACCTTTATAGTAATTGCTATTGAGGACAATTTATCAATTATCTAATTGCTATTAAGTACAATTGATGAATGATATAATTGCTATTAAGTACAAAAACACCTTTCATCACATGTTCAATACATCTACTTAAATTATCTACTAATAATAAATTACAATCTTCTAAATTGAAATTGAATTTTCAATTATTTGTTATTGAGTCCAATTAATGAGTAGTCATTAATTGCAATTAAGTCCTAAATTCATATTATTTACATATACTATGAAGCATCAATTTCTAAATAAACTACAAAAAATATTTTTTTTGAGGAATAAACTACAAAGAATATAATCATTCCATTTAGAGAGAATTTGTATATTTGGAATATTTTGTAATATTGAATTTGAGTACATATTTTGAATGCTTTATTAAGTTGGTTCTAGAAAATCAAATATAATTTGAAAATCTTTCATTCGGTATTTTGAAATAATTTGTATATTCTACCAAGAAAATATGTATATTTTGAAATATTTTTGTATTTCCCACATATTCCATTCAATTTACATACTAATACTATATTTCAAGTTTGTGAGACACACAGACGACTAAAATAAGAGTTGTTACTGCCATCTATGAAAAATATTGTCATTAGTTATAACTTATAATAAATATTACTCCATCCGTCCCCCTATTATTGGGACGGAAGGAAGTGGTGTGGTTTTTAAGAAAACTAGAATTGTGTGGTTGATAATGATTTGATAAAGTAATAATAAAGTAAGAATGAATTAGAATCACACAAATGTTACCAAATATGGTATGCGACAATAATAGGGGGACATTCAAAAATGGCAAAATGGGACAATTGTAGGAGGACGGAGGGAGTATTATGTGAAATGCACTGTACTGCAACTATTTGGCAGTCACACCTACAAGATGACAGTAAATACTGTCATGTTAGTCCTATTTTTGGAATAAAACCATAGTAGTCCTATTTTGGAATTTGAAACTCCATTTAGTCATATTTTGGGAAATCTACCTAATAATAATAGTCAAGCCCCATTAATTAATTAATTATATCTTCATTTTTCCATTTGTCGTTTCTTTTTCTTTTTGGCCTTCAGTTCAGGTCAATTTAGTTTACAGTTTTTTGTTGTTTTTATATTTTGTTTTTTAGTTTTTAATATATATATATATATTGTTCATATTTCTTTCCATTTGATTTATATTCTATCTTTTTGCTTTTAGAGATAATAATTCTTTCTATTCAAAATAAATAAATATAAATAATAAATTGAATTCACAAAAACAAGTGAATTTATATTTATTTTAAAAAATCAAGTGAGTTTTATATCAAGTGATTAATTAGTTTTCCTTATAAGATACTCAATAAAAGCAATACTCTCCGTTGAAAAAAATGCGATAGAAATGCCAGTGTTTGCAAAACATAAGAGGTAATAATTAAAGACCAGTTGACATGTTTTTCTCATTTATTTTCAAAATTGACATTATACATTTAGTAATACAATTTCCTTTCAAATCCCTCTCAAAATAGGAGAATCATTAAAAATACACATTGAGATTTTCAAATTAAGGAATTGAAATAATATTGATTGACTGACCATAAAGTTAATTAATCTCTGTTTGTAATTATTAGACTTTTTAATAAGTTAAATATACATATTCAGAAACTGCATTATAAGTTTTATAAATTCATTAAACAAAAACTTAAATTTGATAAAAGTTGGATATATAAAGTAAAAGATTCAGAAGACTTTACGTTGACCGGAAAATATTGGACGAGAAGCTTTGAATGAGATAGATGTAGTTATGGCAATGACACAGCATGCTTATATGACACACTAACAAACTGCATGTTTTCGTAAAGTTTCTCTTTTATACTTTCTCCATTCTTTTTTATTTACAACACTTCCATTTTCACATTTACCAACACACTGCTTTAGTTATTAATATATACTACTTCCGTCCCACTAATATTAAGCGGAAGGTTGTGGCACGGTTATTAATAAAAGTGGATTAAGAAAAGTTGATATTAATTATTGATAAAGTAAGAATAAATGGAATCAGAAGACATGTTGAGTTCTAAAAGTTTGTAGAAAATGCACATTGCAAGTAATTATTGGTCATATATGTTAAATGAACTCCATCTACATCTTCGACTTTTAAAGCAAATTTTAAAGTGTGAAGGCAAAATTGTTGCTTGGCGCGTCTTTGATTATATGGGATGAAGCTATAATGATTGACAAGCTTTGTTTTAAGGTTTTAGACCTTACACCGAGAGACATCATGCAATTGTGATATATAGAAAGTGAACACATGTTATTCAGAAAAAGATTGTTGTTCGTGGGAAGACTTTAAACAGAGAGTTTGTATTGTCTTGAAAAGAGTTAGGGAGAACCGATGTGGTTATAGTGGTGGTTAAATCTTCACACTTTGAGAACGCTATTCAGTTCTTTTTGTCTCACAAAGAATATCATGAGACTAACGATATATTGCAATGACTCTAGCAAACAAAAACCAAAGAGTTTGCTATGTGGGTTGTTAAGGTAAGAGTTGATGACATTAGAGTAGAAAATTGATGATGATTTTTTAATTAGAAGTGGGGATCATGCGTGATTTATTTTTTAAGGTAAAAGATAATCATACCATAGTTATTATTGAAAGCACATATCATAAATTTTGAGATATATTAAGCGAACCAGCGCATGTATCATTAAGAAAGAGTAATCATGTATTTTGTGAAGGCATTCCTTCACTTGAGAGGTCTCGATTATGTCCCCCTCTCCTTCTGTACTCTCTTTTCATTAATAAAATCTGATAAATGTTCCCCGATATTTATCTCATTATTTTTGGTGGGTTGCCTACTTGGTTAAAAAAAGAGTAATCATAGCTTGCGTCCACATTATACGTTATTATTGACATAAGTAAATGCATGCTATTGTTGATAGCTAGAATAAGAGTTACATATCTTAGTTCAATTAATATTATTCCTTCGCACACCGATATCACCTTCCATGTTGATATGTACATTGTTGAATATCCTAATAGCGCTCAAATGGATGCATTGCCTTATCATATCCTTATTTACATATTGTATAAAATATATATCTTACAAAGTAAACAAACATTCTCAACATCTGCCCGGGGCAACGCCCGGGTAAAACACTAGTATATCAAACTAAACAATTCAAAATTTAAGAGCTTTTGATTACCCTATTTTTTGGTTTATAAGCCAAATTTTTCACCAAAAACGTAACTTTTGATTTCACACGCTGAATTGTGTGATGATAAGAAAAAATGACGTTGGATTTCTTGCTCTATTGGCTGAAGTTACTATAGATGATTATTTTAGCTATTTCTTCATATAATTTTTCTTTATTTTATTAACAAAATATATTTTAAATATAATTTTTTCATTGCAGAATCAACAAATCCGAGCACTTCAGCCAAAATTTCATAAATTTCAGGAGAATCAACTAAGGATGTTTTTGTTTGGTCTGCTTTCTGTCTCATACCATACTAGAACAAAACAGACCTACCCATACCAGACCGGACCAAAATTAAACAGAACATACCAAACCAGACCAGACTTCTATAGTTACAAAATACACAGAGACCGGACGTTTACCAAACCAGACTAGACCAGTTCAGACAAGACCAGACTTAATCAAACCAGACCAGACCAGCAAATTACAGTCCAAGTGAAAACATCCTAATACAACTAACTTGAGTATTACCAAACGGCCTCTAAGGATGTTTTTACTCAGATTGTAATTTGATGGTCTAGTCAGGTTTGGTCTATTTAAGTCTAGTTTAGTCTGGTATGATCTGTTTAAGTCTGTTCTAGTCTGGTCTGAATTGGTATGGTCTGGTAAATGTTCGATCTCTTTCTATTTTATAACTATAAAAGTCTTGTTTGGCCTGTTTAAGTCTGGCCTGGTCTATTTAAGTCTGGTCTGGTCTAGTCTGTATAAGTCTGGTTTGGTCTGGTCGGTTAAAGTCATGTTTGATCTGGTATGGTTTGGTTTATTTATGTCTGGTTTGATCAGATCTGGTCTGATCTATTTGAGTCTGGTCTGAGACTGAAAACAATCCAAATAAAAACATTCTAAATAAATCAAAATTAAAAGGGAAAACTGTCACATAGGTCCTCGAACTTTCATAAAAAGGTCAATTAAGTCCATTTATAGGAGGTTCTGTCTGGCCGTCGCGATTTGGGGCAGTTCCCGACTTCCCGGTGGAATTTTTTGATGAAATTTTTTGAGCATCTTATTCACCAAGTCTAGTTTACTCATACCAAATTTCACCTAAAAATTCAATCGGGAACACATTCAAATTAATTCTTGAAGATAACTGCGCATTTTTGCGTTCAAGAATTAATTTGAATGTGTTTCCGAATGAATTTTTAGCTGAAATTTGGTATGAGTAAACTAGACTTGGTGAATAAGATGCTCAAAACATTTCATCAAAAATTCCACCGGGAACTGCCCCAAATCGCGACGGCCGGACAGAACCTCCTATAGAAGAACTTAAAACCTTTTTATGAAAGTTCGAAGACCTATTTGACATTTTTCCCAAATTAAAATTAAAATACCCATAAACTTTCATCTTAAGTTTTGGTGAATGAACCCAGCCGACCCTGCATCATCCTCAAAATCAAGGTTCAATAGTAGTACCTCTATTCCCTTCACACACACACACACACAAAGGAGTGGGCCCCGCCAATCTGGAAGGTCGGTCCCCATCACAGGGAATTTAAAAGCACACACGGCGGGCATTGGGATCTTCATGCTTGAAATGGTGCTTATATATGTCAGATTTGTGTGTGCTGTTCTGATCTGTCTGTCCACTTTGCTTTGCTAAAGCCAACCCGGGCCATCTTTAAAAGATCCCCAAACGCTGCCCTATTTCTTCTCATCAATGGAGGGGCCAAAACGTTAGAGTAACAAAAGCTAGTGTGGAAAACCCAATACTCTAACTAATTGTTGCTTTATTCATAGTATATAGACACTTCTTCTTCCACCATTAAACTCGTACCATATTTCCAAAACCAGCTTGCCTGGCCTAGCCATGCCTGCCCTTCACTCCGTCGCCCCAAAGCCAGAGGGTTCCAGTCCTGAAAGTATGGCCGCCGCCGCCGCCCCCACCGTAGCTCAGCCCTGCCTCCACACCAATACACAGTCATTCCTGCAAAGAAGTCTCTATCCCATAGTCCTGAAGGTCTCTCCCTCATTCCATTTCACGCACAGAAAAATTAACTCTCTTTTTACTTCTAATGTGATTCTAATTCGACTTTTATGATTCTCAGGAAGTCGTAGTTTTTGAATATATAAATTTTAACGATCGCGTTTTCGTATGTTTTCGGTATGGGACAATCTGTTTTACAATTTCAATGAGTCACATTATAGGTAGAGAAATGCATCACACTAAACATTATAGGTAGAATTAACCAGAGGGTTCGTAAATATTACATGTGGTATGAGTCCATTAACTAATAGAGTTTTGTAAATTTGTCACAGTTTGAAGATGTTGTGTACAAAATAGAAGGGAAAGGGAAGAGTTCATCAAGCAGCAGTAAAGGGAAGACAATTCTTAATGGATTGACAGGTATGGTGAGTCCAGGGGAGATATTAGCGATGCTAGGTCCATCCGGTAGTGGGAAAACCACGCTGCTAACCGCTGTCGGCGGTCGGCTTCACGGGAAGCTCTCGGGGAAGATCACTTATAACGGGCAGCCTTACTCCGGGTCCATCAAACGGCAGACGGGGTTCGTGGCGCAGGACGATGTCCTGCACCCGCATCTCACCGTACAAGAAACTCTCATGTTTACTGCACTGCTGAGGCTCCCTCAGAGCCTGAGCAGGGAGGAGGTCTCGGATCACGTGGAGAGCGTGATCACGGAGCTCGGGCTGAGTAAGTGCAGGTGCAGCATGATCGGTGGGGCTCTGTTTAGGGGGATATCAGGAGGGGAGAAGAAAAGGGTCAGCATTGGTCAAGAGATGCTGATCAACCCCAGCTTGCTGCTGCTGGATGAGCCTACTTCTGGGCTGGACTCAACCACTGCTATGAAGATCTTAACCACCGTCAAGCAGCTCGCCACGGGTGGCCGAACGGTGGTTACCACCATCCACCAGCCGTCTAGCCGCCTCTATCATATGTTTGATAAGGTTATATTGCTATCTGAAGGTTGCCCCATTTACTATGGTTCTGCCCCTAATGCCTTGCAATACTTCTCTTCCATTGGGTTTTCTACTCCTCTCACAGTCAATCCTGCTGATCTCATGCTTGATCTTGCTAATGGTAATTCTACTTTCAGTTAAATATCCCACATCGAATATTTACCTAAACCCAAGTACCTTTTTTTTATTTGTTCAGTTTTCTTTTTGGAAGTTTTAAGTTTTTGGAAGTATAATATGTTTCACACTTTTTCTACTTTTTCATCTCATATTATAGAGTACCTCTACAGCTCTACTATTTTAGTCTACTCTTAAACTTTGTAAAAGCCTTACTGGAACAAAAAACAAAAACTCTAGACCATCTTTTTTTATTGATTTAGATCTAATTTAGTGTGTGAGGTGATCCTTTTGGTGGAGTTAGACCAACTTTAATACAACAACATCCTAGCCCCATTCCCAAAAGATTTTGGGATCGACTAACATGAATCGATCCATGATATAATAAATTCATATTTTAATACATATCATGTGATGCGAATAAGTGATAATGTTTGCCGCCGCACGCCTACTACAACACCCTGCTCTTTTATCCTGGCCTATAAGAGGCTTGATACCAAAAATGATTCCTTGGCAGAGTTTAGACCGACTTTGGTATTAGGATGTTTTACTTGGACTGTAATTCGTCCCAGACCAGTCCAGTTCAGATCAGACCAGACCAGACCATCAAATTACAGCCCAAGTAAAAACATCCTTGGTCAAATTTCATTTAAGCTAAAATGAGTAAATATTTTGGACTGGGAATGCATATCAACATATGACATATCAACTTATAATTTTGAATTCAGGTATTAGGCCAGATTCCAACAGTGCTATGGAGCAAGGGAACAGTACAGAACAGGAGAGGAGAGGTGTTAGGGAAACTCTCTTATCTGCTTATGAAAAGAACATTTCAACAACATTAAAAACTGAGCTGTGCAGTTTGGATAATGGTCAAAACTACAGTTACACCACTGATGCTTCCAGAAGTGAGTTTCCTGTTTCTCTGTTTGTATATTTTGGGGAATTGGCCTCCAAACCCATAAATGTTTAAGCTCAATAATTATTAATTGATGATGAAACAGAAAGTAAGGGGAAAGGAGATCAGTGGTGCACAAGCTGGTGGCATCAATTCAAGATACTTCTGTTGAGAGGACTGAGGGAAAGGAGATATGATGCCTTCAACAAGCTTCGAATCTTCCAAGTCATAAGTGTTGCATTTCTTGCAGGGCTTTTGTGGTGGCACACTCCACCTTCCCACGTTGCAGACCGAGTAAGGGCCATCTTTGTCCTTTGAAAGAAATTTGTGCCCCAAAAATGATTAAAATATAACCATTTTTTCCAAGTAGTTGACTTGCATGTTTATTTTAAAACAGAACTCCCTGTCCATAAATATATTGTCTCATTTAAGTTTGACACAATTATTAATAAAATGGTTGAAAAGGTAAAATTATGGTTGAGATTTGAGCATAATAAAGTGAAATGTTGTGGACCACATATTTCTTTTCAAAAAGGAAAAAGTGACACTTATTTTAGGACAACCCAAAAATAAGTGTAGACAGGTAAAATGGGACTGAGAAATACTTTATTTTTCCTTCCGTCTCAAAATTAGTTGTACTTTTATTTCAAAGAAATATTGAAATATTCATCTAATACCCCCGGATTAGTATAAAATAATAAGCGATTATATAATATCCCGACTGGCTTTTCTTGTTTAAAATCATGGGCTCCTGATTTTAGGATAGAACCAGGATCTAAACATCTTATAAGAGCCAAGCCCGGTTATGACTTAATGGTGTTTTTGGCATCGTGATTTAGGATTATCAGTTTAGGATATATTTGGCCCATTTATCCACTCATCTTATATATAAAAATCCATTTGGTAACATTATAATTGGCCGAATTGGCTGAATCTAGTTGAATATTATATAAATAAAATCAAGAAAAAATCATATGAAAAAGTAGCTAAAGTGGTGTTCTAGAGTAACTTACTTTGATTATTACACAATTCAGCGCTCAAAAGAATGTTTTCTTTTGGACTACTTTCAGTCCCACAATAGATCAGGCCAGATTAAACAGACTACACCAGACCAAACAAGATCTGACTTGGACAATTATAAAATACACATAGACCAGACATTTACCAGACCAGCCCAGTAAATAATAGTCCAAAAGAAAAAATCCAAGTTCAAATTTGAGGCTACCAAGCGGGATGTGAGACTCTAGGCTACTCCTAGGCTATGTAGCATGGAAACTCTTAGGAAAGAGTACGTTTCCGTTTCGGAAACTCTCCAAACAAGCCTTTTTGAGCAAAAGTTGACGTTTCCTGTTTCCCGTTTCCTCATGATATTTGCGTTTCCGTGCAACATAGCTCCTAGGATCTAAACACTACTTTTAAGTTTCTTTTAAGATGGAACTGTGATTCATAATATTTGCAACCTCTTAATGTGGTTCTACTTCATTTATACAGGTTGGGATGTTATCATTCTTTGCAGTATTTTGGGGTTTCTACCCACTCTACAATGCAGTTTTCACATTTCCTCAAGAAAGAAGAATGCTAATTAAAGAAAGATCATCAGGAATGTACAAGCTCTCATCCTACTTTCTAGCCAAAACAATGGGAGATCTGCCACTGGAACTAGCATTACCAACAGCATTCACTTTCATCCTTTACTGGATGGGTGGCCTCAAAGCTGACCCTCTCACCTTCACCCTATCTCTACTAATAGTCTTATTGAGTGTCCTTGTTGCCCAAAGTCTAGGACTGGCTTTCGGCGCAATCCTCATGGATGTCAAACAAGCCACCACTTTAGCATCTGTGACAAGTCTGGTCTTCTTAATTGCGGGTGGATACTATATTCAGCACATCCCGCCTTTTATTGTTTGGTTGAAATACTTGAGCTACAGCTATTATTGCTTCAAGCTTCTTCTTGGTGTTCAGTACAATGACAGTGATCGTTATGAGTGCTCAAGAGGAGTTTATTGCAGCGTTGGCGACTTTCCAGCCGTTAGATCAATCGGTTTCGACCATCTATGGTTTGATGTGTCCATCATGGCATTCATGTTAGTGGGCTATCGGTTTCTTGCTTATTTAGCCCTCCACCGCGTCCGATGAAGAAATCAATCACACATATATTTGCAGAGGCGGGAAGTGGACCGTGGTGCACTGGTTAGAGCTAGAAGAGTTATATATATCCCTTTAATTGAGTGAGGAATAATGTAGGCTTTGGTTAGTATGCCATTGCCAGATTTTGATCATATTCCCCCGACATCATTTTTAGATGCACTATCACTTGGGAATGTGTTTTTTACATAAGACTACAAGAGTACTATAAACTGACCCAAAAATATATGTCGCATTGAACAGTTTTTGTATGAACAGAAAAAAGATGCATAATGTTGTAATGGAGTAAAGATGGAATCCATTAACCTTGACTCCTTGAGCCATCAAGTCCAAATCTTTTGAATGACAATATATGTGGAGAGCACTTTCGGAAGGACTGCAGTAGTTTAGTGTTTTCCTCTCAAAAATTATTTCTTCATAATTTCCTTGTTTTCTTGGTAGTTGGTATGTGTTCTTAATACTACCCGCCCGGAATCATTTTGATAGGCAAAGATTATCAAATTTAATTGATGATTAAATTAATTCTGTCTCCATAAAATTAAAATCAATATTAATAATCAATATTTTTATAGCTTAAATTAAGGCAAGTTACAATACGATATCAAGTCCCCTCCAATCATAAGCCTTCGAACTGATGTGGAGTTAATCATGTTCCAGAAAGCAATATAAATCAATGATCCTAAATTGGGCACATATTAGTCAAAGATGATCGAAACTGTACTAACAAACTCTAGAGAGAAACCGACCAAAAGAAATTTTAGTTTCTAAAATATAAAAACTAACGCTAAAACATAACAATTCGAATTAAAAACCACCCTAGAATCAAGAGTGACTTGGAACAGCAACTTGAAAGAAAGAGGAGCACGAACTGCTCGAATATGAGTGAATGCAAATTTCTCTTTCAACTTTATCCCTCTACCCATCTCTATGCAGCCTACAAGAAAACATATGGAAACTCCTGACTAGGCAAAGTTAGCAAAGACATCAATGCTCCTTCCCACACTGAGGGAGAATATTAGAGCACCAATATCTGAGAAAGAACTATCATAGAACTAAACAAACGCAATAACAAAAACTAATCTTTACTTTTCACTTTTTAGTAGTCACGATACAAGAACTAATTTTTTTGACTGGAACTTTTTAGGGAGCCGAAATATAAAAGTTTTTTTTTAATAAATATTACTAAAAGGGCACTTGACCCGGTTTAGAGCTTCTCTCTTTAGCCAGACATTTCCCCCAAGTTTAGGGGTTATTTTTCTTTGCTTTAGACATCAACGAAGTGCGACTTTCGTCCGACTTTCGTCCGTCTTTCATGAGACTCTCTTCTTCGGCAGAGACTATATGGCGGCCAAAGGTTGTGTACCCCTAGCACCAAATGGAGAATTTCAAGGATGTCGTTCATGGTTGAGATCATATCATGGACGAAGCATGGGGCTAGGGGCTGGAACAAATCTAGACCGGAGGCAATGATGTGAGTTTTCTCGCACTAAAATATGTAGTAGTAAAGTGGTGAAAGTACGAGTATCGTCTCCATAGGGACGGACAAAAGGGAAATGAGAATTAACTAAATTCAGCGATTAAAAAGAAATAAAATAAATGCAATTGTGCGAGATTTGACTGATTGGAAAATTAAATTGCAATTAAATGAATAAAAAGTTTGGTTCTTTCTAATTAACGACGAAGTGAACAAGGATTGACTCCAGAGTAACCAGATTTCTGGCAGATCAGACTTAATTACATGAAATCAATTTAATTGAGCCAGCTAATCATTACTAAGTTCTTACCGCTCTCGCGGCAAAGAGTGCAATAATTTAGGGGACCAGACTGATCTCTCATGCGACAGGTTTCTAAATTATTGCCAAGACGAGCGAGCTTAAGCCCCTTAATCGCTACTAATCACTTAGTGAGCAATTAAGTGTGTGTGAAGGTGTCTTAGAATAAACTAGATCTCTCTTAATTTATTCTACAAGCAATTGTAATTCTAGTCGCGATTCTAGGTTACAAGAAATATCAATTAAATTATTCAAACACAAATTAAATGACATTCATGCAATTAGTCCATCAAGAAACTAGCCGTACATCATGATTAACCCCTTCATCAATCCCAAATCCCTAATTAAAACTACTCACAACTCATAATTGAAGAATCAATAGAATTGGGATAAATAGAAACAATTGTCATTAATTAAAAAGATAGAACTTACAAAGAATCTCTTAATCTTGAAGAACAAGGCTTGAAAAACTCTCAAAAGTCGAAATAGGGTTTATCTCTCTAAGCTCCTCCTCAAAAAATGGCCAAAAACGGGCCTTTAAATAGAAAAAATCCGGAAAACAACGTAACTGCACGACCGCACGGTCGCCCGCACGGCGTGCGGCGTACCATGTGGCCGCGTTAAAAGTAAGATTATGCTCCGTAACTTTTCAGCCCACACGGCGTGCGGGTCCCACACGGTACAAGTGTGCGGGTACTTCTGAGGGGGTGTTCTGGACCGTGCGGCGTGCGATTCATCCGTAGGGCATGCGGTTCAGACTTCTTCACTTCTAGCTCTCTGAATTACCCGCGGGGCGTGCAGTACAGACCCGCGGGGTGCGCGGATGGCTCTAGAACCATTTTCTTGCTATTTTCTTCCCCGTTTTCTCCCAATCGATCCTATCTTCAATCTTTTACCTTCCAAGCCTCGAATCGTGCCTCAAAATCATCTCGTGGACCTCCGATGTCTCTTGCTATCTCTCGAACGCATCCCAAATCTTCTCCAATCAAGCTCAAATGCCGACGTCGGGGTCCAAATTCTCCATTTTCTTCGAAAAATGCAAACCAAAACCCGGGTATTTCATATCTTGAGCTAAATAAACACTTTGTGACGCAAATAAATAGGAAAAGTGACATAACTCAGTCTCAACACGCATCAAATGCGTGTTGAAATACGAGCTTACCAGGCAATGAGCGGAAGAAACTACAGTACTGTTAGACCGTCCCCCTCCCGAACCACCACCTTGGAATGCAGGAGAGTAGAGTTTGGAAGCAGTATTTTAATTTCACTGATTGATTGCTATTTATTTTTCATGATCAGACTGTTTATTTTTCTGTAGGTTACTTTTATTTTTGTAAGACTCTTACATTAGGATTGAGTGATGGGAGGTTTGTTTTAGCCGTCATTGGCTCATTTATGCCCATTAAATGAATATGAATATGAATAATAGTTAGTATAATGGCATGTCATGATAACTTAAGTATAAAGATTAAACATAAGTTCCTAAAATTTCATTACTAATCTAGTCATTAATCATATTTTTGTAAACAATCTCTACTTTAGTCATATATATGTAATAATGTCAATATTAAAACATCAATACCCCATACTATGTAGTGGTAAATTCACTAAATTGTTTATAAAATTAATAGAAATAGGAACTAAATACATAAAATATCTATGGTGAGGGTGTAATTAGAGTTTTTTCCAAAAGAAATGTTGAATCAAAATTGTTTACTAAATTAATGTTAGGTTAAACGTATTTCTGCAAATGTTCATTCGTGAGTTCAGTTTTCAAGACAAAGTCGCCAACTCTTGGCGATATTAATTAATCAGGGTTCATTTCAGCAGCATGTTGGGAAATACTTTTAACCCGATCTCAATTTTGTACATAATTATTTACTTTATCCATCTCGAAATTATTTCCTCTTTCCCTTTTTGGTAAAAAATTTGTGATTCACAATAATTCTTACACATTTTTTTCTTATTTGCACAACTCTCTACCATACAAAACACACTATCTTAATCTTTGTGTCCGGTCAAAAGGGGAGATTTAACATCGTTTTGGGAAAAAAGTCATTTAATTACTTCAGGCCTTAATTGCTCCGTACAACGCGTTGGGATGACTTGTATTCACTCATTTTTGTCGGGAATTTGAGAATACACATGGGAGCTGGCATATGATGCTTCAAACTCAAGTTCAATGATTCTAATTCCCAGCGTGGGCATACAACCTGTTTCCTGCAAATAACGGATTTCCTGGAAATTGTGTGCATCTATTTGGCTGTTTTTGGAGGAGGATAATGATAGAAAACTGAAAGGAAACATTGGGAAAAGACACTTTCTTACGAGTTAAAAAACAGATGACACCTCATCAATGAGAGTGCCTACAGGCCAAATACTACATGTAGTAGTTTCTAAGATGATCTAAATTTAATCTTTAATCACAACTGATAGATAGTGAGTGAGACTTGTGTTCAGACATCGATTTCAAAATATTACGAGAAGACTATATAATTAACCGAATTTGAATCTCAGACTGTATTTACTCTAAAAATGCTATATTTAAGTTGAAAACGCTAAATCACATATATCAAGCCTAGTATTTCTAAAAATGCGGGTGTTAGGATCTGATTCTTAAAACCATTTCTGCTCCTCGAGGGAGCATAAGCAGAAGCTTGAGTGTTTGGGTGAAAGTACGGAAGTGATTATGGTGCTTCTTTTTACTCATAGAATCAATTTTTTTAGAAGCTGGTGGTGACCAGCTTCTGAAAACTGATTCTGATTCTGCTTCTGCTTTAAAAAAGAAGCAGAAGTAGAATCAGTTCCAAACACCCTCTAAGTACTTGGAGAAGCCG